CGCTCCCCGGCCCCCGCGCCTTCTCCTCCGTCGTGCTCCCCCGCCGTCCCCGAGCCCCTCCCTTATTCCGACCGTGCGCCCCCTCCCCCCCCCCGCTCTCCCCTGCGCCCCCTCCTCTTGCCCCCGTCCTCCTCGCACCCTCCCCGCGCCCTTCTCCCCCGTGCTTCCCCCGCCGTCCCCGACCCCCCTCCCCTTATTCCAACCGTGCACCTGCCCCCCTGCTCCTCCCATTCGCCCCGCTCCCTTCGCCCCGTGCCCCCCCCGCCCCCCGAGCTTCCGCGCCTTCTCCCCCGCGCTCCACCCGCCTTTCCCGAGCCCCCCCCGCCATTATTCCGACCGTGCGCCCCTCTCCCCCGGCCCTCCCTGCTCTTTGCGCCCCTCCTTCTTGCACCCGTGCTCCCCCCAAGTCCCCGGAACTCCCGCGCCTTGACTCCTCCGTGCCCCACCGCGCCCCCCCCGGGGCCCCCCCTTCCTTTTGCGCCCCCCTCCCTTTTGCTCAGTGCCCCCGCCTTCCCCGGGCCCCCCTGGCCTGATTCCGACCGCGCGCCCTCCCCCCGTTCCTCCCCTGCGCCCCTCTGCCGTTGCCCCCGCGCCCCCCCCAGTCTTCCCGGGCCTCCGCGCCTTCTCCCCCGTGCTACCACCGCCCTACCCGCCCCCCCCCCCTCCCTTATTCCGACCGCGCGCCTTCCCCCCGCTCCTCCCTGACCCACCCGCCTTTGCCTCCGCGCCCCCCGTCTGCCCGGATGCCCCTTTCCCCTTATTCCGACCGCGCGCCCCCCCGCCTTCCCTGCGCTTCCCCGATTGCCCCCGCGCCCCCCCCCCCCCCACCCCCCCTCCCTCCCCCCCCTACGCACCCCGGCCCCCCCGCACTGCCCCCAGCGCCCCCCGCCTCCCGGGCCCCCCCTCCCTTATACCGACCGTGCGCCCCCACCGCCCCCCCCTGGGTTTTGTCTCCTCTCGCACCCCGCCTTCCCCCCCCCCCCCCCACGCCCCTCCGCGCCCCCGCGCCTTCTCTCCGCGCCCCCCCGCCGATCCCCGAGCACCCTCCCTATTCCGACGCGCGCCCCACCCCCCCCCCCCCCCCCTCGCGCCCAGCACGCCCTCAAGGACCCCCCCCCCCTTATTCCGACCGTGCCGCCCCCCCCCCCCGCCCCTCCCCCGCAGCCCCCCCCCCCCGCCCGCTCCCTCTCCTCTTGCCCGTGCCACTCATCTTCCCGGAGGCCCCTTCTCCCCTTTCCCCTTTTACTCGCGCCCACCGTGCGCCCTTCCCCCGCACCTCCCCCCCCCTGCGCCCCTCCCGTTGCCCTGGTGTTTCCCCCCATTTTCCCCGGGCCTCCGCGCCTTTCCCCGTGCTCCCCGCCCTCCCCGGGCCCCCCCCCCTCCCGTTATTCCGACCCGTTGCGCCCCCTCCCTCCGTCTCCCCCCCCCCCTGCGCACCCTCACCCTTGCCTCCGTGCGTCCCTGCGCGCCCCCACCCTCTCCGGGCCCCCGCGCCTCCCCCCTCGTGCCCCACCCGCCTTCCCTGGGCGCCCCCTCCCCTTTATTCCGATCGCGCGCCCTCTCCCCGCTCCTTCCCTGCGCCCCCCTCCCCTGGCCCCCGTGCTTCCCCCACCCTCTCCGAGCTTCCGCGCATGCCCCCTCGTGCACCCCCCGCCTTCCCCGGGCCCCCCTCGCCTCATTCCGACAGTGCGCCCTCCCCCCGCTCCTCCCCTGCGCCCATCTACCCCGCGTGCCCCCCCCCCTCTTCACGCTTAACGTATCCCAAACAGCCCATCCCAAAGCAGCCGCCAGGCGAGTTGCCTTGCTGAGGGAGGCACAGCAGCAAGTAATCCAAAAGTGAACCACATCCGTCTTGGCGGCACCTCGGGGTCGCCCATGGCCGTCTGGGGCCATCCTGAAGCTATCTTGGGCCGTCTCGGGTGCATCTTGCGCCGCGTTGGAGACATCTTCGGGCCATTTTTCGGCCCTCTCGGAGCCATGTTGGCCGTCGACCACGACGACGACGACGACCACGACCACGACCACGACCGCGACGACCACGACGACCACGACGACCACGACGACCACGACGACGACGACGACGACGACGACGACGACGACGACGACGACGACGACGACGACGACGACGATAACGACGACGACGACGACGACGACGACCACGACGACGACGACGACGACGACGACGACGACGACGACGACGACCGATGACGACGACGACCACCACCACCACCGACGACCGACGACCACGGGGCCCCCGAGACGGCTTCAGGATGCAGAAAACATCGGGACCGCTCCTTCGTTATGGTCCGTCGCCGGCCTGTCGGGGAATTCGCTTGCCCCACCCCCCCCCTACCGGACCTTGGCGCCATTGCAGTTTGCAGTCTGTCTCGCATCCGCGATTGTATGATCCTTGGCACGCGAGCCCCTTGTTATAACCAAAGCGTCGTTCCGTGTGTAGTGTCGCGCTTGTTCGTCGTCGTCGTTTCGCCATTTCGTCCGC